CTTGTTATCTCAGATTCTCCAGCATCTGCAGTTCCTCCTATCTTTGTGATATTAAATCTTTGTTTTTGTCCTGATATTTTCTTTTTAAGACATTCATCTTATTATTGTTTTAAATTCTGCAATGTCTCAATGTTTGGCTTTGAAGCTTTTAATCATGCAGTAATTGCTGTTGTTTTCTGTCTCTGGGTTCTGAAGAAGGGTCATTGGTCTCAAAATGTTAACTGCTTTCTCTCCACAGATGCTACCATACCTGCTGAGTTTCTCCAGCAAGTTCTGTTTATGTTTCAGATTTCCAGCATCTGCAGTTATTTTTTGTTTTTAATCTTTTGGTCGTTTAAACCTTGTAGCTTTGTTCCATTATTTATCTTCCTTTAATACTTAAATTCTGCATTGAAGCAATGTTGCGTTTCTGTTCTGCTTACTAGGGGTCCCATGCTTTTCCATTCAAAATGTTGATTTCCTGCTTTCTGAAAGCAAAGTGGACGTTTCCTCACCTCTGTTGCCAAAACTAAGGTTTTCTGTGTTTTTCACAGGTAAAATCAATGATTTCCCACCTTATAAGGATTAACAACTAAGGTATCTTAACCAGAAGAGGCATTTGTCTGAACAAGATGTAATTTATAACATAGCAACAGGTAGAAGTTATGTTGGCTAATAAATAAGTCATGATAAATAAGTTTATCTGGAAACAATGATGACACTTATGTCACTATCAGGATCTCAAGTTAAACTTCACTATTCCCTACCCAAGACTGTATGATATTGGGATTGGGTGCAACTTGTTGCAGGATCCAACATTAACCCTTTCAGAAGCACTACCTTATACAACAGTGTTATTACATTGATCAAGACTCTCGACCTCAATTGATTTCTTTTAATAAAAGCTAACAAATCCTTTAATAAGAGCTAATTTAACCCAGAAAGTGCAAGAAAGACAGAGAGTTTGGTGAAAAGTGCCCCCCTTCACCTTGTGCTCCTTTCTCCTATGTTTGTCCCTCCTGTGCATGATCCCACCACTGCACATTATCACTGCCTTGGATGCTGTGGGCCTTACTCTTCTAGTCTGCTGTCAACACATCTGAGGCTACACATCCCACACAAATGTTGTACGTTTGAAATACTCTGAGGATGTAGAATGTTATTCTCACACTAGAAATTTCTGTCAAACATTTACCGGGGAAACTGAGACAGCAGGTGCAATAAGCGAAGTCTGATTCAGATGGGACAAGTTTAAATCTCCACTCAATCTGCTGCTCAAAGTCACCTCCGTTTTCACCAGTCAGTTTCCCAAGTTTCAGGAAACTCGTTAATATTTGAAGTAATTTAAATTTTAAACATGTGTAAAATGGTTACTGCCCTTAAATCTTTATTACATATAACATCAGAAATCACATAAATATGGTTAGGTACAGTGTATAAAGGAATTTATCAAAATAGCTCCCTTCTCATAATAAAAGGAAAAGAAATTCTGCAATAACATTTTCAAGTTATTTTACAGACATTGTTCAGATATATCTCATATTTACAGTCAAGTTTTGGTTATGCCTTGAATTGCACATACGAAAATGTTCAGATACATAGTCCCAATTGATATCTCTGCAAACAAAGTAACATCATTTCCAAATGCTTTGGAGCAAACAGATGCAGTTTAAGAAACATGCATTGAAATGGTTTGAGGTCAGATTTGACCATCACTCTTTCTCTCCCAAACAGGTACATGTTGAAAAGCTTGTAAGTAAAGATAATATTGAGTCTCTCTTTCTCAATCTGTGTACAGTATTATTCAGTGTGTGTTAACTCTTTGGATACAAACACAACGGGTTGCCCTCACTGCCTGGGGATTGCTCCAAGTCCTGTGTCACTGACATCACACTGCAGGGTGGCTCCATTGTTGACATCATAATCCCTCAGCACTGGTGATGTCATCACTAGGTGTTTGATGGGAGTGAAAGCTGCTTCTTGTTCTGTGTCCCAGTCCCACTGAACACCCTGCACCATGAGACTGTGTACACCGTTACACTCTTGACCGATGGAACTAGGTAGTTCCTGTATGGGTTTGCTGATTCTGTGGGACTTCTCACAAATGCGTGAAGGTATTAACATAGGAGTTATATGGATAGTGTTTCTCACCAGTGTGAATGCATTGAGGCGCCAGGAGACACAGAACAATTTCTATTCTGGGTGAGTCCAGTGGTAACCAGGGAGGCTTGAAGATGTCACAATTCCTTTATCACAAACCTCAGGAGTGAACGATTAATCTCCTGTGTGGATCCTCAGATGGCGCAGCAGTTTTGATGAAACTCGGAATGATTTGTCGCACACGCCACACTTGAATGGCTTTTCCCCTGTGTGAATGCGTTGGTGTACGTTGAGGCTCGATGACTGAGAAAACGATTTGTCACACACCTCACACGTGAATGGTTTCTCCCCAGTGTGAATGCGTCGGTGTACATGGAGGGCCGCTAAGTCCGAGAATGACTTGTCACACACCTCACACTTGGAAGGTTTCTCCCCAGTGTGAATGCGTTCATGTTTACGGAGGTGTGATGACTGTGAGAATGATTTTTCACATACCTCACACATGAATGGTTTCTCACTGGTGTGAATACGTCGGTGTACACGAAGACCTGCTAAATCAGAGAATGATTTATCACATTCCTCGCATACAAATGGTTTCTCCCCTGTGTGAATCCTCTGATGGCGCAGGAGTCTTGATGACTGTGAGAATGCTTTATCACACACCTGACATTTGAAAGGTTTCTCCCCTGTGTGGATACGTTTGTGCATGCGGAGGTTCCCCGCTTCTGAGAATGATTTTGTGCACATCTCACATTTGAATGGCTTCTCCTTGGTGTGAATGCGTTGGTGTATGCGGAGAGATGATGACAGCGAGAACGATTTGTCACATACCTCACACTTGAATGGTTTCTCCCCCGTGTGCGTCCGTTGATGCATGCTGAGGTGCGATAATTGTGAAAATGATTTGGCACACTCCTCACATGTGAATGGTTTCTCCCCTGTGTGAATGCGTTGGTGTACATGGAGGTGTGATGACACTGAGAATGATTTATCACAAACCTTACAGGTGAATGGTTTCTTTCCTGTATGAATGCGTTGGTGTGTCTGGAGGATCCCTAACTGAGAGAATGATTTGTCACACACCTCACATACAAATGGTTTCTCTCCTGTGTGAACGCGCTGGTGTGTGCTCAGGTGTGAAGATCTTGAGAATGATTTGTTACACATCCCACATGAGAACGGTTTCTCCCCTGTGTGAATGCGCTGATGTCTGCGGAGAGTCGATGATGACGGAAATGACTTGTTGCACACCTCACATGAGAACGGTTTCTCTCCTGTGTGAATGTGCCGGTGATAACTCAGGCCCGATGGCTGGGCAAAGCACTTGTTACAAAGTTCGCATTTAAATGGCTTTTCACCAATGTGGTTCCACCAGTGATTCACTGGTGCTAACGTCTGTATAAAGGCTGGGTTGCAGACCTCATATTTGAATGGTTTCTCTTCCATGTAGCTATTCTTGTGTTAACATATACATTCATACAATAGATGATTCTGCAGAGTCCTCCTCACACACCTCACACCTGAACAGTTTCCCCCTTGTAGGAATGAGTCAGTGGTTCATGAGGCTCAATGAATGATTGAAGCTCTCACCACACTTGGAGCCCACTCACACTTCTTCCCAGCCTCACTCTGACTGATCACCCACTGCCGAACCTTCAGAAAGGCTGGTTCTGATGGAAAGCTCCACACCACTGACCAGTCTCAGATCTGATTATATGTCAAAGCTCCACTGATTCGACAAATTTCTAGATGATGGTTTCACTGCCCAACTTTCTCTGTGTTGTGCAATGCTGTGAAGGGACTGGATGTCTTCCCACAGTTGTACAGTTGTTCCTTTGGTGATGGTCAGGATCTATCAGCAGTGTCTATCCTCTCTGTATTCTCTGGTGTAGTACGGTGCAAATCCTTCTGTAAAACATGAAAAGGAAACGTGATTTCTTCCAATTTATTCTTCTCCTTTGCTAAAAGGGCTGACTCCTGATTTTTTTTAAACTTTATACTTTCACAAAATGTGCATTACTTACTTGGACAGCATTTATTGCTCATCTGAAACTGCATTGAGCTAAGTGGAGTGAGCCACCTTTTTGACTTAGTACATTCTTTCCACTGTAAGGACACACACAGTGCTGTTAGGAAGGGAGATCAAGAACATTGACTCAGCTTCAGTGAAGGAATGGCAATATAGTTCCATGTCAGCATGGTAACAGAAATTACAACTGATGATGTTTCCATGCATCAGCCATCCTTGTCCTTCTAAGTGGTACAGATAATGGGTTTGGAAGGTCCTCACAAATGAGATATGCATCTTGGAGATACTTTCCACTGCTGCAACTGTGCATCTCTGCAATCATCAAAGTGAGTCAATGTTTAGGGTGGTAGCTGGGATTTCTATCATGGGGATTGCTTTGTCCTGGATGGTGTCTGGCATCTTGAGCGTTGCTGACGATGCACTTAGCTAGGCAAGCGAGGGATATTCCATCACACTCCTTATTTGTGCCTTGTAAATAGTAGATGGGCTTTGGGAAGTTAAGAGATGAGTTACTTACTGTAGGATTTGGAGCCTCTGACCTGGTCTTGCGGCCATAGTATTTATTTCGCTGGTCAAATTCAATTTCTGGTCAATGGTAACCCCTAGGATGTTGATAGCAAGGGGTTTAATTATGGCAATGCCATTGAATTTCAAGATCAAATTCTCTCCTGTGGAGATGGTCATTGCCTGGCTCGTTTGTCATAAATGTTATTTGCCTGTTACTTGCCACTTGTTAACTCAAGCCTGAATGTTATCTAGGTCTTTCTGCACATTAACACAGTTTGCTTTGGTATCTGGGGAGTTGCAAATCATGCTAAACATTGTGGAATCATCAGTGAACATTCCCACTTCTGACCATTGATGAAGCTGCCAATGATTTTTGGACACTACCCAGAGAAACTTCGTAGTTAAGTCCTGGGTGTCAGATGATTGACCTCAACAACCACAATCATTTTTCATTAAGCTCGGCATGACTCCAGTTTCCCCCTTATTCCCATTAACTCCAGTTTTGTCAAGGCTTCTTGATATCAGACTTGGTCAAATGCTACCTTGGTATTGAGGCCAACACTCGCACGTTACCTCGAGGTCAGCACTTTTACTCACGTTTGAACCAAGGTTGTAATGAGGTCAGAAGCCGAGTAATGCAGTGAGTCTAAGTCAGTATCAAAGTTCCCATTACTGTTTTGTACGTTCTGTTGACAGTAATGTCAATGGCACCTACCATCACTTTGCTGATGACAGGGAGTAGATTGACAGGGCAATAATGTGCATGGTTGATTTTGTCCTGCTTTTTGTAGACAGGCCTTACATTGGTAATTTTACACATTCTCGGGTAAACACCAGTGTTGTAGGTGTACTGCAACAGCTTGGCAAGGATTGCAGCTAGCACTGAGCACAGATCTTCAGTACATATTGAGGTTGGTTGGCTCGCCAAGTTGGTTTGTTGAGTACATGTATGTATCTCCTGATAGAACTTAACAGGGTGAATGCTGAAAGGACTGTGGCAGAGACTAAACATCACAGGTTAGAAAGGACTCTGCCTTTCAAGATAGAAATGTTTTCTCTCAGAGGATTGTTTGTGTGTGAAATCCCTTTCCTGCGAGGGCAGTGGAGGCAGAGCCAATGAATACAAAATTTTTAATGCAGAGTTTGATAGATTCTTGACTGACAAGGAAATCAGAGGCTATGAGGCATTGCAGGAACATGTAGAGTCATAGAATCATTCAGCATGGAAACAGACCCTTCGGTCCAACTCATCAATACCGACCACGTTTCCCAAAGTAAATTAGTCCCATTTGCCTGCATTTGGCCCATATACATCTAAACTTTTCCTTTTCATGTGCCTGTCCAAATGTCTTTTAAATGTTATAACTGTACCTGTATCTACCACTTCCTCTGGCAATTCCTTTTCTTCAATCATGTTAGATCACACATCAGGGCTAGTGGGACTTGAATCTGGATCTCCTGGCTCAGATGTAGGGACACTACTCTGATAGAACACTAGTTTAGCAGCTACACAACAATAATTTACTTAATGAAAAAAATGAAAGAGTTTGTGAAAATGGGTAATTAGGTTAATTGGAGATTTTCAATCAACTCATTGTAAACTGAGAAAAGACAAGTGGTTTAGAGTTTGTGTTGGTAAATGCTTTATATGACTGTATGTTACACATGTGGCTTTATCATTTGTAAAAGAACAAAGAAACTGCACATGAAATAGAAAGTATAGAATCATGACAACATTTATCATGGTCTGTCGCATGAATAACCATCACTAAGATTCGTGTGGGTAACTTTAAAAGTCACTTCAATTAAGTGATAAACAATTAAAGCCAAAAGAATTTAGAAGATTGTTCAACAATTTGTTTTAAAGAAGATCAAGACCTTTAGGCATAGTGCACTAAATACAGTGTAAGCTTGTAGAATAGGTACATTTCTCAGATAAATGAACTCAGGTTAAACAAGCAAAATTGATTAGTGAATAAATTAAAATATGGGATATGGAGGAAGAAAGCCTGCTACAAATCCCACACTAAGAAAAAGGAATGTCAGAGGGCTAACCACAAAAAATGTATAAATATATTAAATGAATGGTCTAACGCTCATCCATAAACTCATTAAAATTAGCCAATTTGTATTTATTGGCCTTAAAGCAATCCATTCCCATCTGGCAGTATTTTAATGGTAACATATTTTATTCAGAGACACGGGCCTTATTACAAGCATATAATAAAGCAATTTAACCTCCAGAAGAGTAAATCCTGTTCATCCAATTGGCATTCCACTCAGCAGACAGCAAAATTCAAAAGAGACCGCAACCTGCTTGTGAAATGGGAGCTTCTGGAGGACTTCAATGAAACAACTAATTGGTCATGTAGTTATTCATAATTCTCTTATAGCAATCTGTCTCATTCCGCATCGCACTAAGTCTTCAACTACACCATTTTCCAAATGACCTTTTCACCAGTGAAACTTGAATATCGTGTATTTCAATTTTCCAAACTTTTCCTGAAACTAATTCTGCCTTCAGGTCTAACCAAGGAAATCTCTCTGTACTATCCCATAACTCAGATCCCAGTTTCTCTGAATCTTGACATTTTTATTATTCCTAACAATTTTATTGAAATTTGACTGAAACATCATCCAGTAAAGTAATTAGCTCAGCTTGAGCATAAAGATTACCTCTGACTTTACATTAAAAGAATAAGGAAGTCCCAATATTTTGACAATGTTTCAGAATTTGGCTGATAGCCTATGCACAAATAAACACAAAGGCACAATATTTGACTAAGAAGAAAAGCTGGTGAGGGATTAAAAAAAATAACAAAAAAATTTCCTGCTAAATATAGGTTAGTGATCAGAAACATGAGCCACAAATTGTAAACATAACCATCAGGTGCTTAAAGGGTCAAATGCTAAAATGGGAATAGGATATCCTGGCTTATTAAGGAATATAGGTTGTTGCTGTTGTTAAATAACTTTTTTTTGTTGAGCCAAGAAATACACCAAACACAGTATTTTTTTTTATCAGATCAGACATTATCTGACTGAATGGTGGAGCATGTTCGAGGGTTTGAATAGCATAATCCTGTTCATACGTTCTATGTTGAGTATTGAAGGGTCCATAGCCATTGCAGTATCCAGAACATTCAGCCACTTCTTGACAACATGTGGAGTGAATCCAATTGGCCGAAGACTGGCAAATGCAACGCTGGGGACCTCTGGAGGGGCCCAAAGTAGATCATCCCTACTTCTGGCTGAAAATGGTTGCAAATGCATATTGTCCTTTTAGCACTGATCTCCATCATTCAGCATGGGCATATTTGTAGAGACTCCTCCTCCTGTTAGTTTTTTAATGGTTAACCCCATTCACAACTGAATGTGACAGGACTGCAGAGCTTAGATTTGATCCTTTGGCTACGGCATTGCTTAGCCCTATCACTTGTTGCTTCTGCTGTTTGGCATGCAAAAATTCCTATTTTGTAGCTTCACCGGGTTGACACCTCATTTTTAGGAATGCCTGGTGCTGCTCCTGACATGCCTTCCTGCACTCTCCATTGAACGAGGACTGATCCCCTGGCTTGATGGTAATGGCAGAGTATGGATATGCTATATACAGATTGTGGTTGGCACACAGTGCCTTCTAGATGCAAAGTTTTCAGTTATTAGATCATTCAAAATCTCTCCTGTTCAGCACACTGTTCGTGCCAAACTGCACAATGCAAGGTTTCCTTAATGCAAACTGAGATTCTACCTCCATAAGAACCGAATGAAAACCACTCTTACCCAGAGCCCAGGAGATGGTGTGCAGCTCACCTGGGTTGAGGAGAGAAGGTGATCACTTGGATCTGGGAGAGGAGGTTCCAGTGATAGGATAGTCGGAGCTCAAGGATGGATTTGGACAGGCAGGCAACATCTAGATCCCAATAGGCAGAGAGAACTGATCATTCACAGTCCACCACACAATAAGTTGCTCCCAAAACCCACAACTCAACAATACGGATCCCAGGTATGACCTTAGCCAGGCTTTCCTTAGCCAGGCTCCCGACAGCCAGGC